TGACAGACTGAGAAACATTTCAAGTTATTGGGGAACACTAGTTCCTAAAGCTTAGCGATATGGAGGAAGAGGGTTGATTTTTGTTATTTTTTTAGGTTTCAGTGAAGTGTTAAATCTCTGATATATGTGAACAGGAGATTTCCTCTTTGGAGCTATGCCTCCACTGACATGCAGCTAAATTGTGGCAGTAGATGCTATGAAGTCCTGGCATGAAGCTATGTGAATTTTGAGACAATTACTCCAACAAAAGGGCTACAGCCCCAAATGGACTCCATTAGCAGTACGATGTGTCTCCAACTGAAATGGTGTAAAACTTTGAGCCTGATTGTTAAACTCGGCAGCCAAAAGCAGTTTGTTACTTAAATACTGATAACAAATAAATAAAAGACTTCATTCTACAGAGGACCCTTTGATAGACTTTTCTTATTTCTTTTGACTTTGGTCGATTGCTTCTCTACCTGCCCAGAGCAGACTGGCATTTAATAGAGTGAGCTCCTCAAATAAGACTGGCTGTTTGCACCAGCACCCACATAGCAAATTAGTACACATGGCTCCCATTTCTGTCAGTGAAATCATGTCTGCCAGGCAGGTTGGTATGGAAGTTAGACGTCCAAATAATTTCCTTTCACTTATAATATAGCCAAGCGTGTAGCAGGTGTGCTGTGCCCAGAGTTAGCAGCTGTTCTCATTTCCTAGCCTTTTTCCTCTCTGCCTCTGTCCCAGCTCATATCTCCCCATGACTGTCAGGCAGCAGTTAATACTCATATCTCCCCATGACTGTTGGGCAGCAGTTAATACTCACATCTCCCCATGACTGTTGGGCAGTAGTTAATACTCATATCTCCCCATGACTGTTGGGCAGCAGTTAATATTCACATCTCCCTATGACTGTTGGGCAATAGTTAATATTCATATCTCCCCATGACTGTTGGGCAGTAGTTGTTAATATGTCTCTCCATGACCATAAGAAAATAGTACTCATGTCTCCCTATTACTGTCATGTAGTAGTCCTCATGTCTCCCCATGACCATGTCTCCCTTGACCATCAGGAAGCGGTCCTCATGTCTCCCGTGACCGTCGGGCAGTAGTGATACTTACCCCCTGTTGTTGCCTGATCAGATTTCCCTCTTGCAGTTCTTTCCTAATCTCCTGTTGCTTTTCCACATGGCTTTTAAAGGGTTCTTTCTATTCCTGTGTCTTGACTAGGGTGACAGAATTTTTTGTTTTGTTTCATTTCATTTAAAATGAAGGGGAACGAATACCTATTCGGATAATGTGGTGAAACTAAATGATTTGGAATGACATAACTGTCACCAAGGTGTATCTTGTAGCACAGATCTTGGCTTTGGTGTTATGGAGGCCCAAGCTATTCAGCTGTAACCATGGCTCTTAGGGATGATTCGGGTACAACCATTAGTTTGGAAGAAGCATGGTGTGTCTTATATTTAGAGTCTATACCTTGGCTAGATGCCAGATAAAATCATTTACAAATTCTTGCTTATGACCTGTCTCCAAGATAAGTCTTAAGCATTTCCTTATGCCAGTAATAGAAGAAATGGGACAGAAGGCGTGGCAACCAGCTATTCGACCTAGTGACCTTTTGGTTAAAAACAGTGGATATATGAGCTTTCCTACTGATGTTATTTTTTCTTAAAACCTTTCTCAGCTTACTTTATTGACTTGATCTTTTGATGTGGCTGTAATTAAGATGTATTTCCTAACGGTGTATATCCAGTAGTCTTTTGTTCTCAATAGTATATACTGTATGTTAAGGTGGTAGTACCTACATGAAAATTTATTTGTGGTTAAGAAAAAGTAATTTTAGCAGTGAGATTTCTTTGTTTTACTTGCTCAACCAGTGGGGTTTTCCCCATGGTAGGCTCTGTGGTTTTGTAGCTCTTAAAACATGCCAGCATTCTCCAAGGAAGAAGCAGTGTTTCACATGTTTTATTATACTCCTGTATACTGAGAGGCCTTTAAAAAAAAAAAAAACAGAGAAACATATGTCTGGTGAGTTCGTATTTCTTTAAGTACACATGGCTCTTCAGACTGGAATCTAGTGAAACAGGACTCCCATTTGAAAACCAGAATGAAGGCTACAACACAGACGTGATCAAGTGATTAGCCAGAGGCTAATAGAAATTCTGGAAAGAATGACAGATTGTATATGAGAAAGAAATATAATCTCACATTCATTGTAGCCTTTTTACAATTAAAGATCAAAAAATAGGAAATTACTGGAAGAGCTGAATATCTGAAACTTTAGAAATGCGTACAGTGTCAGATTAATCCCAGCAAAAGGACTGATGAGCAGATAATAAAAGTCCTAAGTCTCTGTTCCTTGTTTTGAATCTACTTTTGTCCTTTTACCCCTCCTTCCCTCAAGATATGTTTAAGTAGTTTCTGAGCCATTTTCAGAAAACTGGTGTCTATTTCTTCATCATCATGTACATGTACTTCTTTGGAAAACAAAATGCTGTGACAACTCCGAATCGCTGAGTGGAAGAGGTTAGCATAGACCTCCCTCGCTCCCTCCTGTGCTCAGCTGCTGGTATTTTTCCTCTGAGGGAACAGAGCAAGGTAGAAGACATCCATATCAGTTGCTTGTAGTAGCCACAGCTAAGGACTTGCAGGCATGTCTTGGTGGCCCTTGGTGAGCAGCCATGTTTCTTCTGGAGAAAAAGAAAGTCTTAAATTACAAGATATGGTGAAAGCAGGAGTTATAATGAGTTCGCCAAACCAAGATGAATGATAAATAGGTGTTTATTGGGGATGAACTTACACAGGTAACAGTAAGTAATTGTTGAGGTGTTCCTGCTCGAAGGATACAGACCCTGCCTCTCCGATGCTCTCTGAGACCCAAGGGGCTTCTGTCCCCTGCTCCTCTACCTTAAACAGCGTGGCCACTGTTACAGGTTCACAGGCAAGATATCACTACAGTGTTTTCTTGTGTTTTCATTGCAGAAAAGTGATTGTTACTTGCCTGTTCTAAATTTAACTTTATCTTAGGTACCTGTTATTTTACAAAAAATAAAAATAAAACATTGATTGTGTTTGTGCATGCGGTAATCGCTCCTCCTGCAGACTAACATGTCTCATTCTTCTCCAGAGTTAAATCATCACAACATTTTAACTGGAGAGTTCAGCTGCTTCCCAACAGCTTGACTGAAATACACACTGTTCTTAAACTGTGCACCTTTTCATCCAACTTCCTCCAGACTTTCATTGTTCAGACTTGGCTTTCAGTGGTGTTCTTAGTTTTTATAAGTCCAAGGAGAAAGTGGAATGTTTCCTGAAATATAAATAAGTAATAAAAGCAGTGTGCACATAGAATACACTCTTCATTCTTCAAGGGTGTTTTTTTCATTGGCTCTTTTAAAAAGTAAGAGTGTGTGTGTGTGTGTGTGTGTGTGTGTGTCCAGTCAATCCCTGGGGAAAAGACTGTTAAACTGAAGGTCTAATTCCAGATTACCTGGGTTTCCATAGAGCTGAGTATTTCAACTTCTCTTTCTGTATTTGCCTAAATGAGTTCTCAACTCCACAACTGTATTTACAGTGGAAGGCTTGCAGAATTATTTGTGTGCATGTTAACTCAGGTACCTGTAGAAGACAGAAGAGGGCATCAGATCCTCTGGAACTGGAGTTAAGGGCAGTTGTGGGCTGCTCAGCAGTGCTGGGAGCCAAGCACTGAGTATCTCTTCAATCCCAGTATGTGTTTTAATGACTATGTGAGGAATCGTGTCTTTATTAAGTGATATAAAAGCTAGTTATTTCTCATATGCTATGAGATAAAATCTGAGTAGCAGTGCTGACTTCGGTTTCTGTTTTGTTGTTTTGTTTTGTTTTGTTTTGTTTTTGTTTTTTTCTAAAATATGGCTTCTCTGTGTAGCTCTTGTTGGCCTGGAACTTGATTTGTAGATCAGGCTGACCTCGAACTCACAGAAATCCACCTGCCTCTCTCTTCCAAGTGCTGGGGTTAAAGGTGTGTGCCACCACCATCCGGCTGCTTTTGTTTCTGACTTACACAGATGAAGCAAGGATTAGAATTTCTGTCTCCTTAATAGGCCTCATGAAGCAGTGAATCAGGGGACAACCTTAATTTATTGTTTCTTCTGTTTATGTCTTATAATATATAGCAGAGAGGGGAAGAGAAAGAGGGAGTTGAGCTTCTGCAGAAGGCGTTTCTTCCCAGTTAAAGAAAAAGAACAAATGATCAGTTATTAATTGTACTTAAACATGGTTGGTTGGTTGGTTTTGGTTTTTCGAGACTGTGTGGTCTTGGCTGTCCTGGAACTTACTTTATAGACCAGGCTAGCATCAAACTCACAGAGATCTGCCTGCCACTGCCTCCTAAGTGCTGGAAACAATTTTATTATAAATAGCCTATTAAAAAATCCCTTTTTTTAAAACAGAGAGCAGAATTGTGGCTATTAGGCTTCAATGTGGGTCTTTTAACAATGGGGAAACGATTGGCTTAAGGATATAAAACTGCAGTTGGACAAGAGGCATGGACTCTCTGAAGTCTTGAGGTCTACTGAGAGCATGATAAATATGGTTGAGTACAATATGCTATGTTTAAAAGTTGTGAGATAGTATACTTTAAGTGTTCTCAAAACAAAAATGATGAATATGTGTGATATAACATGTTAATTGGTTTAATTTAGCCATGCCATTGTGAACATACTGTATTCTGTATCATAATTGTGCATGACTTTATTTATGAGCTAAATAAATGAATGGAAAAGAAATAAAAATTAAAAAAAAAATTTAAATCCCTTTTTTCCCTTCAGATTTGCAATGTAAACAAAGGTTATGTGATAAACTTCCCAATTCTTTTCTACAGAGTCATTTACCTTCATTTTTGCTGTATAGTGTTTGGGTTAGTTCATTGTGGGTTATCTTCTATATGGTGCCTTAGATTCAATGCACATTTGTTTTTGAATAGATTACCCTTTGAATAATTAAAATTCTAATAGGAATTCTTTTTGTTCTTTTTGCAGCTATGTCATCTTACCTTTTAATTATTAAAACAGAGCTTCCTGCTGCTATTTCAGAATTTTTGCCTGGAGACCACAGTGGGTAAGAAGAAATGTTCCATTGTATCCATTCATCCACCTACCCATTCATTCATTCATTCATTCATTCATTCATTCATTTCATTATGTTTCTATTAAACTTTAGTGGCAGGGGAAACAAATGTCGCACGTGTCCTCAGGACACTTAAAGGTTTCGTGGGGTGGAACATCAATAGAGAAAACACTGTGTACATGTCCACTGACAATCCACAGTGCCAGAGCACTGTGCTACCAACCACTGAAGCTCCAGGCCCTAGTGCACCTTGACGGTCAAGGCCAAGTCAAGTCCGAATTAGCTCTGGGAGGACAGTTAGGAAGCATCTAAGTATGTGAAAGATGGAGGATGGTGGGGAAAGCCTGAAGTTATAAATCTGAGTTGAAGGGACAGTGAATCATCTTTGCTGGAACAAGGAATATGGTTGCATCCACTATGTGAGGCTCATGTTAGACAGCATAACGAATTATGGGGGAGAACCTGTTTCACTTAGCCTTTCTTAATATTGTAAATAACACAAAGCCACAACATACTTCCTTTCTCCTTTAAAAGCACAGGCTCTTACAAAATATATTGATTTAGCTCTTCTTATGGGGAAGGATCCCAAGTTAATTTTGCTTTTCTTTTTGATATGTAGAGCAAGGAGCAAGACTTCCTTTGTCTTTTTTTTTTTCAGAAAAGTAAACTTGAAAATAAAAATAAACCTGGGTTAAGCTTGTTAATTGTCCAGTTGCTCTACCCAGTTTTCAAACCACAACAAAGGACTGCTCTGTCTCTGGACTGGAGTGTTTGGTCGGTTTTCCCCAGTCACCAAACTTATCTGCAGTGCAGAGGAAAACTTCAGAATTTCGTTTTAGCTTAGAGAAGCTGGCTTCTCTTAAAGAAGCAGATAAGTGCAGATGGACATGTGTAAGGAAGGTATGGTTACTTTTGATCTAAATAGGAACTGTACAGATGTGACTAAAATGAGGGTAACAAAGTCCTTCACTGTCTTCATCTTCAGAAAATGTTCCATCATGTGGCAATTCATGGCATCCTCACAGCTACCTCGACTTAATCTGGTTGCATTTTGATTATGTCACGGCTAACTAAGAACTGACTGTGTGAAATACACTTTTTTTTTCTATTTTCTGTAAAAATAGTAAGCACTACTTTTGTTACTTGAATCCTAAAGTGAGAAATTTGTGCGTGGAGCTAAGGATTCAAGGCAATGTGATAAACAATAGAAAGGAAACATGAATATGTCCCATTCATTTCATGCTTGCTAGCCTCAGGTATCTAACGAACTCTTGACCATCTAACTTATCATGAGCTGTAGGATTCTTTACCTAATGCTGTGAGGGTACCAATGAGGGCTGGGTATATGACTTCCAGAGTGCTCACCTAGCTCACCCAAGAAGGCCCTAGGTCCAGTTCTTAGTACCAGACAAAAGTAAAAGCAGACAAGCGTTCTGAAAGGGCTAGAGAGATGGCTCAGCAGTTAAGAGCACCAACTGCTCTTCCAGAGGACCTGAGTCCAATTCCTAGCACCCACATGGCAGCTCACAACTGTCTGTGACTCCGGTTCCAGGGGATCTGCTACCCTTACATAGACAGACAACACACTCAGGCAAAACAGCAAAGCAAAGCATATAAAATAATAAGTAAATCATTAAAAAAAAAAAAAGAGGGCACTGGGCAGTGGTGGTGCACGCCTTCGATCCCAGCCCTTGGGAGGCAGAGGCAAGCATATCTCTTGGGCTCAAAGCCAGCCTGGTCCATAGAGCAAGTTCCAGGACAGCCAGAGATGTTACACTGGAGAAACAGCGTTACAGGAGAAACCCTGTCTCAAAAAACAAAACAAATTAAAAACAAACCAATACCTTTGTTTAGTTGATTCCTTATTAGAGTTATGATAATCAAATAAGAGGGCACACATGTACATGCTTATAAGTATATACTAAGACAGTGTAAATATGTTGTGAACAGGAAATTCTAATGACAATGATTATATTAAAGATAGACTTTCATTTTTTATGCAGATTGCCAGGAAGCTCAGAGTCAAACATAAATGAACTCAGATAATCTAATGGTCCATGTATCACCTTTGGTTTTTTTTTTTTAAGATTTTTTTTTTTTTTTTTTTATACAACATTTTGCTTCCATGAATATCTGCACACCAGAAGAGGACACCAGATCTCATAACGGATGGTTGTGAGCCACCATGTGGTTGCTGGGAATTGAACTCAGGACCTCTGGAAGAGCAGTCAGTGTTAACCTCTGAGCCATCTCTCCAGCCCCCAAATTTGTCTTTGTTTATCCTTTGTTTGGTCCTGAATTTGGTGACTTCTATTAGCATGCTTTAAGTGACTAGTTAAAGTGCTGTGTAGCAGAACTGCTATTAAAATGGAGGTGTTTTGTCTGCTAAAGCATTGTTCATTTTAAATCCAGTGCCATGTATGTTGTTTGAGCATTTGTTTTAAACAGCTGAAATTAACTCGTTTCAGTTGTATTAGTAAAACTTTTATAGAAATGTTCTATTTCTATCACAAATGGGCTGTTACAGCTGCATGCTTCAAATGCTGTCGCCAGTTTTCACTCACAACATGTTAAAAATCACACATTTTTGATAACTTGCATTGTTTACATGCAACCTATTCATTTATGAAGAGACTATATTAATTGGCTACAGGGCATTAGTCTTTAAAGCCCAACCTTGTAAAGTCAGAAACAAGTGTTGTGGTAATGAATGTTGCTTTGGGGCAGTTTATTTCTAGATGGTGTTGGGTGGCAGTATTTCTTCACTGAGATCATGTGGTGTGGATGTTTTATTTTAGGGTTTGGTTTACTGTGAGTTTCAGTTAAGATCTTTCAGGTGTCCTTATTTTCTGGATTATCTGTAAACATGATGTATACTTATGAACTATAAAACCCTTTATGAAGATGCTGTCAAATCATTTTGTGTTCATTATATTCTAATTTCAAAAGTTACTATTGAAAATCCAGATCAGAAATGCTTATACCAAACTCTTAGGATACATCTATATTTCTCCTAGAATAACGTGCTTTTTTTTTTTTTTTAATCTATAGCTGTTAAAAGTTGGGAGCTCTCTGTTAACATTTAATGGTCTTGTCAGGGGACTATGATTGACACAATTAAGTTGTCTTGCATTTGAGTTACATAATTGATATGGGATGTGAGCAAGATCCTAATTGAGAACACACGATACTCTTGTTCCATTCTATTCGAGAATGAAATTAAAGCAACTTATAAATAAATCTGGTTTTCATTTAAAAATGGAAAAAACATCTGCGTGCCAAGCATTTGCAGTACAGCTAAGGATTTATACTCTGTGTTTCATAGTTGGAGCATTTTTATCATATAGGATTAAATCCACAGGTCAAACAAGTTTTCTAGGAAGTATAAAACTTTTTACTCTAATTCTTTTGGCTTGAAGAGAATGTATATTTAGGTCACAATAGGAAAACAGAAGTTTGGTTAGATAATTCCTTTTCCCCTCTTAGAAAAATTTTAGAGCAGTAGATTTTCCTAAAATCTTGATTTATAAAATAAATGTATTTACTGTGTGCTTTTTAAGACTGTTGATTATTGGTTAGTATTCTCTGGGATTAGGTTTAATCTCATCTATTCTTTGGACTATCTCCATGGCCAAACACAGTGCACTTGTCAGGGACATGCCTGTGAAATTCATTCACTCTATTGTGTGTAACTCATGGCCTTTATTGATAATGAATGAATGATAAAGAAATCACTGTCCTAATGATTGGTTTTATTAACATCAGCCAATAAATATAAGAAACAATTCATAACCAATCTCGAGGCCTAGAGAAACTTTGTTTTAAAATAAAATCCTTTCATATTAAGATTTTTAAGTTCAGTCCTAAGGAGAAAATGAATTGTGACCTTAAAATAGATTAGGGGCTTCTGGATAAATGCCATAAACTCGGGGTAGCTCCTGAGGCTTGGAGTGTTTGCATTGCTACTGTCACAAGCCTGTGGTTCTTTTATGACTCTTGCAGACACATGAAATAAATATGTTGAACAAGGTGATCTCTGAGTGCCCCTCCAGCCCAAGCATTCCTGAGCTCTGCCAGTCTGATGCCTTCACACCCCACAGTCAGGGCTGTCAGTCATGCCAATTCCATCCCCAGGTCACACATAGCAGCCCTACCTTAGGACTTTAGTGTTCCTTTAGTTCTATGCAAGGAGAACATTGTGGTCCTATGGCTTAACACCCTTTTATACAACTCCACCTTCCTAGTGTTTTGTTTTTCCTCCTAAAGAGTCAGTTCAGGGCCAGGTGGTGGTGGCACACATCTTCAATCCCAGCACTCGGGAAGCAGATGTAGGTAGATCTCCATGTTCAAGGCCAGCCAGGGCTACACAGAGAAATCCTGTCTGGAAAAAAAGAGGGGGTGGGGAGCCAGGTTGGTTTGTGAGCATTTTTACTTCATGTTTTTATGATTAGAGCATTGATCACGATCTGTACCCTCTTAACAGATATTCAGTATACAATGCAGTGTTGTTCTCCAGCAGGAACAGCAGTGCTAACAGATGGAATCTGCTCGCTGTTCCCTTGGGGCCATTTTCTACTGGCACTGCAACCATCTGGGTCTGATACCAGGTCCCAAAAGAAAAGACATTTCAGACATAGAGCCCCGGGCTTGCTGCCAGATTCAGAATTTAGTTGCCAGGTGTTTCTTGGTGAGGGCTATTTTGAAATTCCTACTTGGTTTTTTTATTCAAGAGTGATTAGAAGATGAGCGTGAGTATCAGTTCGTGTTTATTATATGGTTGCTTTTGTAGCACTTCCTGCACACCAGGCTCCGAGGAGCCTGTGCCAGTGTGGATAGAGCACAACATCAGACCCTGCAGAGCAGAAACACTTGATGGTCACTTCTAGCTTCTGGTAGTGAATTTGCAAAGGACGGGAGTTAAATCAGGACCAGGGGAGGGGGTGTGTGTGTGAGCAGGACAGGGGAAAGTATGATCAAAGTGCTATTTCTGC